GCAAGCCCAGATCAACGCTCCTTTCGAACCTTTAGATCAGGTTTCAATTAAATTCTTGTCACTTAAAACAGCCCTGCTGTTGGCTTTGACATCTGCAAAGAGAGTGAGTGATTTCTGCGCTCTCTGTTGTCCCATCATTTCTCAGTATTCAAGCTGATGGTAGCTCAGCTGCGCTGAGACCTAACCCAGCTTTTATGCCTAAAAACATCACACGCTCATTTAAATCGAGAATGATAACGTTGGAGGGGTTCTTTCCTCCTCCCCACAAATCAGAAGAAGAAGAATCTTTTCATCTCCTCTGCCCTGTGTGTGCGCTGGCATGTTACGTAACACGCATGGCCACACTGCGTCACACTCAACATCTGTTTGTACATTATAGAGACGCCTCTGTGGGTCGCCCGTTATCCACCCAGCGTCTGTCACACTGGCTGTATGAGGCCATTTCTGAAGTTTACAGAGCATCAGGTTTAGAGCCTCCTGACAACCTCAGAGCTCATTCGACCAGAGGAATTGCATCTTCGACAGCATTGCATAATGGTATGACAGTGCAGGATATTTGCACGGCGGCTGCATGGTCATTGCCTTTCTCATTTATTTGCCTTTATCTGCGTGATGTTTCGGCTCGTTTCATGGCCCTTTCTATCCTCAGTGCTTTAACAGAATGAATCACTCTTTTCATGGAATTTTGTTTAAACTCACATCTGACTGCATGCAATTACAGTGTGAGATATTTATTATCAGTCACAAGTTTTGTGACTGCTGTTTTTTTGTTCTGTTGTTACTAATCAGTTCATGACTACTGTTACCAATCAGTTCATTTGATTACTAATCAGTTCATTTATTATTAATTTGTTCATATTTAAGAGCTGCTGATCTGCTCTGTTCACTGTTTTCAGCCTTCCCCCTTTTTCCACGTTGAAAACTTTTCTCTCCGGGGCGCTCCTGTACATGGAACGTGTTATTACGCAGTGCGCTTCTGTGCAATTATGCAGCGTGTAATTATGCACATAGAAGGCTGAGTGATGAAATGTTTTTTGGTGCAAGTGGGCACTTCATATTGTGTCTGAACGGACCCAGTGAGGCATAGACTACATCCTGCTTTACCTTTAACCCACTAGCGAGGGCCTTAAAGGGCGAAGCCTATACGAAATAGAACGTTGGTTATGTACTGTAACCCCAGATTCTATGAGTATAGGCGTAGCCCTTTAAGCTCTGGGCCTCACTGGTTCCTGAATGGCTGAAGAAAAAGCTGTTTGGGAGCCGATTACCCACTCTCAACGTAATTTATACGGACCGGGTGAGGCCCACACAACAGGTGGGCATGGACTAAGGTTTTCAGTGCTATGCTTCGCGTGACGGGATAAAACCCACTAGCGAGGGCCTTAAAGGGCTACGCCTATACTCATAGAATCTGGGGTTACAGTACGTAACCAACGATTTCCTTTAACTCCACACATTTAAAACATGTTTCTCCCCAAGTTTGTGTAAAATCAGCTGTGGGTTTAAAGTAATTTTAACTTTAATACACTTTAATAAAGAGCATCAGGTCGGCACTATTTGTGTTTATAGAGAAATAAAAACATAACCACTGGACTTTTTTACTTGTGTTCAACACTGCTCTTCTAAATGATCCAACATTTTTCAGTCAGGTCATCTGGACAGTTTATTTTCTTGTGCTGAAACGTTTCGCCTTCGATCCAGAAGGCTTCATCAGTCAAGGAAACACACAACCAAACTGATT